TGACTAAAGCTGATCTTCAGGATCAAAAATATATGAAAAACACCCGCTTTCTGTCATTGCTCAAGCAAAAAAAAGTCATTTTATATGAAAGAAAATTAAATATTTTATTCAGTAMAGATTTTGAGAGTTTTGTGATATTTCCAAAGGAAAATATTCAAAATGCGACCATTACAGCGTCATTTCCGGCAGCCCGTGTTTTAATCAAAACCATAAACTAGGYTTTGGGCGAAGGAAAAACAATAAAGTGGAAATATAGGGTCTTTTCATATGGACGCTACAAAAGTAGACCGATAGTGACAGCAAACGAGCCATATTTTTTCGGCTCTTTAGACATTTCTCTTCRGTAAGGTTTGCCATTTAATCATGYAAGGAYATATGACCCAACAACGAGTCGAAAATTCACTACYGAAATTCGGAGATAGTGGCCTCAACTTTACGGACGCAGTTAACATTGAATCCCGAAAGAATTACAGTTTGGAGCGGTTTATGGACCGCCGGTGTCATTGATCAAGAAAGGCACGTTACTGTGAATGTGAATCGCTATCGCTCAATGATAACAGAATATTTTGGGCCCGACATCGATGATATGGATTTGGACAATATGTGGTTCCAACAGGACGGCGTCACAAGCCACACAACGAATGTCACAATCGATTTATTGAAAACCAAGTTTGGTTAAAGTGTTGTCTCACGAAATGATCGTGTGATTTGACGTGGTTAGACTATTTTCTGTGGGGCTACGACAAGTCTATAGCCTATGCCAAAACCAGCGACGGTTGATGAACTTCGTACGAATATCGAACATGAAGTTGTAGCAGTATCTACCGATTTATGATTGAAAACCGTCGAAAATTCGGTTCAGCGTCTGGACTTTTGCAAGTGTGCCCATTGTAAATGAGCACGAAAATCCTTTGTTCAAGACCTTGCAGATTACTATATCTAAAARACATATGTAAATTTTCATTAAGATCGGTTGATTTCGTTGAAATTTTTAAGTAATTAAGTAAATTTTAGCCGAGCTCGAGCGAGCAACTTTACATGGTCGTATCTCCAAAACTATTACTCGGATCAACTTGTGAACTTAGGGAAATATTCTAGAGATATCACAGCATTAAATAAGACAATAAAAACTATTTTTTGAAGCCTTGAAACCCATGTAACCGCTTTGAGATCTTTGTGAAGCGTTTTCAATCYCAAAAAGCAAAGCTCTAAGCTCTGAATAATGTTGTATTTTGAAACATATGTAGTAGAAATTTTAATAGAGTTTAGTGTATAATAATATCAAAACAACAGTTAGGCATATCTAAACAAAATCTAAACAGCAAACAATTAATTTGAGGAAGGCTATAAAGCAAAATATATGACATTCAGCCGCGGCAGGTGAATGCCATACAACGTTGGTGTTGTTGTTATTGTTATTATTACACATACTTAATTAACCACACTTTGTTGACAGAGGCCAAATAAAACAACCGTCATTTAACTGTGATTAAAACTAACGCATTATGTAATCGAGACATTTGTATGACAAGCGAGCCTCAATGAATATCTAAGTATTTAATCTAAGAAAAGACAAGACAGGCAAAAAGTGGGCAATGAGGTGTTAAGTACTAAAGTATTTCACATACAAAACGGAAGAGTGACGTCTGGTAATTAAAATCGATAAAACTAGATTGGAGTCGGCGAGATAAAGTAAAGAGAAAATGAGCGAATGGCCGAAGTAAATAGAGAAAATTACAGCAACGAAAAAAAAACTAACTTTTAAAGCTATAAATATACGATGAAACAAAGTGATTGCCGGCTGCGCTAAAGTGGCCAATTAATTGTTATTCAGTTCCAAAATGGAGCAGAGAAAAATTAGAAAAATAATAAATGAGAAAAAATAAGAAAAAAATTTATTAATTTTAAATGAGAAAAAAGAGAGAAATAATAACGCCGAAACATGCAGAGTCAGTCAACCGACAAGCCCAAGCAAACTGGAGTAGGTTAACACGAAAAATACAAATACGCTATTCGAACACTGATGTTAGCAATTTTAATTTTGTTTAAAAAAAATGGTATTTAAGTGCCAACAACAAACAATGCGCTCACGCTGCTTCTTGTCAGCAACAAYAACAATTAGCTACAGCACTTTAAACCAAATTAGCGATAACGGCGTGAACTAGGCGATTATTTTCGATACAACGGAACGTTATGGAAACGAAACAATAGGTAAATAGTCAGTATGTTAGCATGTACACTGGCCAGCATGACATTTGCCAGGTTGCGCAGACAAAACTAAAGACTTTGACAACAAACATTTAKGTGAGCGAGGTCTCAGAGCGCCAAAGCAACGGTGATTTTTCTACAAATTGGASGAGAAAACGTTGTTTAACTACTGCATTATTTGTTAATGACACTTAGTTGCTTAGTGTTTATTAGAATGTGTCAACTGTTGCTGTAGGCAAGACACATCCATTCCCCCACTTTGAAGGTTKTGAAGGAAAAAAGGGCTTAATTTAAACGTTTTGTTTAGAGTTCGGTAATTAATTAAAATCGAAACAAAAAAATATATTGTTTTAGAAATACTTACAAATTGCAGCAAAGTGTTGCATACAATTAGGCGCTTCACTGTATTTGGTGAGTAAAGTGATATGGGAACAATTGAAACTTAAAATGCTTAATGATATTTTAAATATATTCCAAGGAAAATGTTTGGAAAAAAATTAAATAAATATATTATAAAATTAAAGCGAAAAATGTTTAAAGCTT